TTTGAACTTGCATCGATAGCAGCCCGAATTTAAAGCGCCAAATAATAATCGTACACACTAAGATTTGAAAATCTGAGGTAATTCCCTTTGCACTACACAGAGAATTAAATCCTTAAAATGTGGAACTCGAAGCTTCTATTTTCCGGTCCGCAACAGATCAGGATTTTTGAAAGAAGAGAAAGAGGAAGCTGAAAAGAAAGCTTAGCAGATGAGGGCGACTCTAATTTCAAGCATACTACTACAGATCTGGATTTTCGGTAATTGAGATCGCCCTGTCATATTGCAGAATTTCTAGATAGCACCTGTTCATGTACGACCAACCGAACACCCGCTGCTTCCGTTGTTGGCAAGTAGTCGCTTTGGTTCACATTTAGCAGTAGACGCAACCCATACATCGGTCCTTAAACAATCATTTTTTATAATATGGCTTCAGAATCACAGCATCACACTTAATACAAAATAAGGATTTCAGTGTTAAAACGAGATCAGCTAGCCTCAGTTTCATAAATGGAAACTAATTAACCTGCACGACTATTTTTGAGCTCAACGGAATCGTTGAAATTGAATGTGTAACAGTTGCCGTATTCCGGATCCATTTGTAATTTGAAATCTCTGGAAAGCAAAACCTGTAACTATACACTGCTTTCCTCAAAAAAAGCACATTAAGCACAATTTTATCTGAGAAGACTCTGATCACGCTGTCGATCACAATGGCATTTCCACAGCCTGGGACAATTAAGAGTTCTATTTCGTTCAAGGACAAACATATAAAATTTTTGTCTGGTAAAATTTTCAAAATTATGTGCAAAATTGAATTTTTCTTACTGGATTGCTCACGATATATATTTGCCATAAAAAAAACGCTAACAAGGTTCATTAAGCATGCCATCATCTAGAAGAAGCTCGAACTATCTGATTAAATGATATTTTCACCTCGGGAGCTATAATTTGCCGAAGTTTTTTAAATCCTTAGAACTGAAAGAACCTTTCCAGATTGCAGTCCTCGCTGTTGAACGAGCAACGAATCACAAATTCCTCCAACGTATACGAAAGGTTGCGGCGTACTTCACGTGGTAAAGCAGCAACCATGAAAATCAAATTTTCTCTTGCCTTAGCGGTCATGGCTGCTGGATCTTGCCTCTCCTTCAAAATACGCCATGAGCTTTGCATGTAACTTCATAGATTAT